TAGTTTATCATTAACTATCACAGTATAAATACAATTTGATAGAGATGGAGATTGAATAGTTTTTACAAATAAAGTTTGATTATGCAAACGAAACGTTGCGTTCCTTAGTGATTGGTCAAACGGACTAACGTAGAATGATGTCGACCAATCATAATCAAAGGACTTTCACAATCGTTTCGTCTTTTGTTTTAAATTCTAATCTAAGGTTAGTTTTGTCAAATTATTTCATATGACACACATTATATGCAAATAATAAATTAATTTTCTCATAACACTTAAGTCTACATTATTGCGAACATTTGAAGCATATTTACATTTTATATCTTACAAGTTACATTGGAAGAGATTTGAATAACTACAATGATAGTTATTTAATCTATAAGAGTTTAATATTTATGTACAATGTTTATTATATACAGGAATAATTATTGAATGTCCTCTAAAGGAATAGCGTAGGAAATCGTAAAAACAATCTGAAACGAAACAATATATTTAAGGAGTAAATTTATGTTAACATATTTGTTTCATAACAGAACATGTAAAAGCTTAAACATGTTTTGATATTATATTTGATTACTAAAATCCTACAGAAATACACCCGATACAGATTTAATAATCTCAATGCAAAGCATAAAACCTGAGATCTGAAAAGAAAAATCTACCTTCCAGCTAGATCATTTTATTGAAAGTAAAAAGACAGGTGCACAACCGAGACCGCCCTTGGGTCTCTCGAAGAGCCATCACACTAAAACTACACTCCTCAAGAGTTTTAGAAACAGAAGTTATCTCAATCCAATCCTTATTGTACAAAGCGTTACAAACAAAATAATCTTTAAATAATGGGGTCTCAAGGACGATACTGTTATGAACAAAGAACACTCATTATTTTAATAGGCTCATTCTTTGTAAGGGTATTACATTATTTATAAAAAAAATCTGAAGAAAATCTGGGCTCAATGCGTTTTATGTATGTTTTTAAGCCGTGAATTCGTTTGCATATAATTAGAATTTTATATAATAAAAATTTAAAAGTCAATATAAAGGTAGCCACTTGAAGGTCACGTGTATCTACGTTATCAAGAATCAATTTGCCTTCATAAGGCTTTGCTTGAGAAATATAATATTGGAAGGTTTACCGTAGTGTACTGCGGTCTTATTGGCATTCATTAAGTCGTACCGTGATGTTATATAGCATTACTCGATTAAAGGAATATCCATGACAAAAACTATTTTATGATTCAAACCTGGGATAAGCTCCTTTAACAAAAATCTTCAACTTGTAATATTAATATTGTATTAACGTTGAAGAGCAAAATACATAAAAGTAAGTGTGGAAGATTAGTACTTAGCTGTAACATTAGTGTTCATAGTCTTAAAGCAAGATTGTTTTATTATTATTTAACTTAAATGTGCTTTGTTAAATGAATTATGAAATCCATTATTGAATATACTGCTTCGCTTGCTTCAGTTGTCTTTCAGACTCACAGAGTCAATTACTTAATTTTTGCCTGAATTTTATATTGTTCATATGTTCATTGATACATGACTATTTAAACTGGCCTACGCTAGGAAATTTTTTATCAACTAAGAACGATCAATATTTTATTGAATTACATTTTTATTACATCTAGTATTGTAGGGAATATGAGTTTAATGATTTAAATACATTACATTTAACGATTATTTCTAAGAGGAAACAGTATTAGAACCTATATTTTTACAAGCTGGTGCAATTTTCTTAAATAAACAATAATTCCAGCTCAGCAAGAAATACATTGTCTATAAATGAATGTTGTTCTTTGATAATTACAGGATTTCTATAAGGAATGATATTAATAAATAATATAAAAAAGAAAAAAGGAATCAGTGGCGCTACAACCTCTTTAGGTCTGGGCCTCAGATTTCTGAAACTGTTTTATGATCATTTTTAAATCTAATAGGCAAGAAGGTGATCAGCCTTCAGTGCCTGACACACGCCATCGACTTTTTGGGTGTAAAACATGTCGGTTTCCTCACGATGTTTTCCTTCACCGAGCGAATGTTAAATGTGCAGAAATACACCCGATACAGAAAGAAAGAAAGAAAGTCCATTGGTCCAGCCGGGGATCGAACCTACGACCTCAGGGATGAGGGTCGCACGCTGAAGCCACTACACCAACACTGCTCGAAGACATATGATATTAATAACACGAATAAAATGCCAGAGGGCTCGCTAATGTAATGCTGGTATTGTAACTGAGTTTATGCATGTACAACAAAGTTTTATTTATATTGGAAAGTTACGCCAACCCGAGTCTTTAACCACCAATTTGATCACTAAATGTCTTTCATTATATTTACAATTAAGATATATTCTACTTTAAATATTGACTCAGAAATTATTTAGAATTATAGTTAATATCTGAGCGCCTAACATAACTGTTATGTATTTAAAATGTCTAAAGAAATTAAATAACAGTTTATAGGATATAAGCGCCAACATTTTATATTATTTACATAAGTCAGGTTGTGATTAATAAGTCGTGTTAGGCAAGTGTTATGAAGTTGGAGCATAACAATTTGATATTAGAGATTAAGGTTCATTAAAATGTTATTACATATCATAAGTTGTACGTCAAGAAGAAGAAAGTTTGATCACATACGGCCATAATTAACAATTTTAAGAGTCCTGCCTTGCGATTCTGTAACTCACTTTTCGAACTCTCACAGCGGCGGTCGCGCTCAAAGCAGTCGTGAAGCAGTCATTTTACGATTTGGCATTCTGATAAACAATAAACTACAAGCTCCCTGTGCTTGTCAAGACGTAATGTGAAATTGCTTAACAGAATACAATGAGATTCCAAAAATGACGTGAGTGACGAAGGGAGCGTTGTTAGTGCGAGGTGAACTCACGGATTAACAGAATCGCACGGCTGTTTTTGACTGCGTCAAAATCCAATGTTTTCTCAAGAGCTTTCTTATGATATTAAAGCTATACTTAGCACTAGCTTACATATGTATGTTTTATCTCTACAAATTTTACCGAAAAATGGAAATATCAAAGCAGGTTTTGTAATGAAAAAAATGTCTGATATGATTAACCGAGTTTGGCCCTACATAATATTAAGGGCATAATTTTTAGGGAAAGAAGATGGATTGATCATGTAACGAATGGTACGTCTAAGAGTTGTCACTCACGAATGATAGAGTAATCTACCCCTAATTTATCCTTAATATATTACGTGATTCTGATTATTTTTACAAAAAGCTGATATATTGTGACGTATCAAACAGGTAACACTATTAATTATCACAATATTAATATGTTAAATGCAACATGATAGTTTGAATGATTTGTAAATTCAATGTTTTTATTCATAAGTTGAATTATGCCAAAAAGTTTGGACTAAAATTTTAAGATTAGAGATTTAGTTATCTACTAGATGTGCATATACAGTACAATTATTTAATAACAAATAAAAATCTGTCACGATGGCGGACAACATAAAAGCCAAAATTTGCGCTTTATTCAATTATTCGATAGACAATAAAGAGGGTTTTAAGTGCCAAAACTATTTTTCTTTGTTTCACATTTGTAAATGCGAAATGCTGAATTCGAAAAATGAATTTGGCGCGATTGTAACGAACTAATTGGTCGACGTTCGATTTTTAATTATTAAATTCAACCAGAAAAGGAATCGAGACAGTCTGAAAAGGTTATACGATTATGAATTTTTTTTTCCATTTGCTATGTAGCACACATTCTTATTTTGAATATTTAAAAACAGTATTTTCCCAGCCTATTTGAATAAGACAGAAATTAAACGTATACCTTTGATAAATATTTGAGTTCCCCAAGTGAATTCCACGGAAAATATCACTTAAGAAAATGTGAGAGATGAACAAACTAAGTGGCACTTATAACGGTGCTGATTTGCTAAATACCAGGCGGAGTGGACTAGAGACATTAAATTTTAAATTCTGCTGAGACGAACTTTCTTGTGACTCAAAAGATTATTTTCAACATGTAAGCATAAAGATGTAACTCTATTTTATTATATGGATATTTCTTTAGGATAATTTTGTATCAAATAGTTTAAATTCAAGTATAGTAACAACTTTTAAAAGCCTAATATTACTTCCTATTATTAATTTTCCTCACGACATTTTGCGTTAGCTGAATGTACCAAAATGTATTTATAATTCAATTAGTACAAAAACTCAGCTCGAAGTATATACAAGTCGTATTAATTTTAATAATATATAACAACGCATTATAATTTTAAACACTCCCAGATTATTTACATGATAATTATATTCAACGGAATGTTAAATTTGATATGCATAGAGCGCTATAACTATATACATTTATGTAAATACGTTTAAAATCACAGTTTAGACTAGCACAATATATACTAGAAATATAAATAAGAAAACTGGTATAAAGCTATAAAATAAATGTAAATAAAAAACTTATACTTTGGTATTTTCGACTAAACTGAATACATAGTTATAATTATAATTTTTTTAAAAGAGACAAACTATTGTATTGTGAACCGTAGTGTTCGATTTTAACACCTTTAGGAATGTGAAAAAAGTTCGTTTTGAAAACTTAAATTATAAATAATTCTCTAGAGCAATTCACTTACTGACACAAAGGTTGTAGTAACTGATTAAGCAAGACGAAATGAAGATGAAATGTATTTAGAATTTTAAGAGAATGTTTTTTTTTTCAGTTTCGCTACATCTATTAATAATAAACGTGAATCGCCCGGCTGTTGTAATTAGTTACTTTTCATTTAAATTAAATTAAACAATTACCGTCCTTATCCCTAATACCTCTAACATGCGTTTGACAAAGTATTAAATGCTAACTGTGTCTATTATTTATTATGAAAACTTAAGTGTGTTTATACACATAAAACACAATTCATGATTTCTCATCAAATATACGCAGACATTATAAAACTCGTACGCATCAAATACTCACTGTGGTAAATAGACAATATTTCGATTTTGCCTTAAACAGTAACTTCTTCTGTAAACCTGCTCTTATCGTCTAGATTAATAACAATCGCATGAGTCCTCGCGTGACCCGATCTCACTTTAACTTCAGGTCCAGAGCTCAGTTTCACTACACTTTTATCACTTTTCTCACATTTGTCACTTTTATAACCGTTTCTACTAACTTCTGGTGGTCTTATATCACTACAGTTCGCTTCACCTGAAATTTTGAAGACACCATCTTTTTCGTCATCTGCTTTACGTTTTGGAGAATCTGTGGTCACATCCGTTTGACTTTGCTCTGCGTTGCTATTATCTGTACTCTTCGTTGGTGTGAATTTTTGTTTATAGGAAGGAGGGGCGTCAAATGTCATGTCTCTACCACTGCTGGTGGATTCTTCGGCTGGGGTCACGGTACACATGAGTTTGTCTGCGACTGCGCTGAACACTGTGTTAAGTTTTAGAGGTGCGGAGTCTGATGCGCCAGGTTTACGTTCGTGTACGGCAGCAGCATCAAGCATTGCTGTTATTTTTCTGGGAATTGTATTGACTGGTATGCAGCGTTCTCTAAGTTTCTCTAGCTGTTTGCATATCTTCTGGAACTCCTCCTATAAAATGGATGAATATGTTATATGTTATTCTCTTCTAATTTTGAATTCTTTTTTTCTATAAACTACAGTGACAATTTTAAATACTTCTTTAAAATATGTGCCTTAAGCTAGTAATGACAAAGCTTTGCTTATCACATTTTATTTTTCTTTACGTACCGTGCCGAACGTCTGCATAGACTAAGAAATCAGTAAAAATTGGTCCAGTCATTTTGGCATTAATGAGAATCGAATCATTCATAGTCAAAGATGGATATGCAGTCTCAAACACCGAAATAAATTACAATTTCGGCGTTTGACTAAAGTATATTTTCCTTTAAACTTTGAAAGTAAAATAATCTGTTCGAGCAACGCCTAGTCGATCTTGGAAGCGATTGATAAGACTAGGTCAAACGTCGACTGTAGTTGTGATGTGAGATCTAAGTGCAAAAGATTCTAAATTTTGAGGTCTTATAAAAATGTCATTGCATCAAAAAATGCCATTCAAAATTATGCAAAAGAGTTTTAATGTATTACTCGTATATATATGGAAACGAAACAATAATTATAAAATCCTTTATTACACCTAATCTAATAAACTAATACCTTCTAATACTTAATTAAAGTTTGACTGGTCAAACCCGGATGTCATTGAGTTTCGACGTTTGCCTGACCGAATTACGTTCTCCTAGGTTTCACGAAAACAATTTAGTCAAACTTCATTTTTTTGGGCTTTGACTAGAAGTTGAAACTGACTAACTATAACAGATATAGCTAAATAAGAAGAGTACTTACCTCTAATTCTTTTTCAGTCATATTATCACAGAAACGAGTACTCCTGTTAGTCGTCATAGTATATGTTGACTCGGCGGGCTTAGATCTAAACTTTCCCGTTTTCTCTCTCTCATCTTTACCATGCCCTTTGAAGACCATGTAAGCCTGAATATAAAATGTTATTATGACTTTAAGTTTTTCCATGAAATAACGAATAAACCTTTGATATCAATATGCATTAATAAATATAACTTATTTAAAACCTTTTTTCATATAGATAATAATATAATACGTAAATATCGCAATTTTACAATTTTAATTTTTTTGTTACTTTTGATGATTTATTGATTATTGTGTGATTTTTGAAAACGATTATTAAATTGACTATAGACACTAATACTCAAACACAGACAAATGTTATGAAATCTATAAAACGACTTTTACATTTTAAGAGTATATAAAATTGTGATACCCTATATAAATCTGTATTTAACTTCAATATAAATAACAACTTAAGATTGAAAGACAAGTTTAATTGAGCCGAGAGTTCTCAAACTGACATATATGATAATTCGTTCACACACAAGCCATTGAATCTTCGCCAGAGCCAGCGCTGTGTACTCTGAGGTAAGCGCCCGTACTCCGTAACTTCCAATAGTGAGTTTGTCTGCAAGTTCCAAGTAGTTCTCCCAACACCCGTAGCGCTTATTGGGATCGCGCGGAACAAAAACTCATTATTGGGATCTGTATTGCAATTGGAACTTACAGAGAAAGTGTCCAGGTGGGATTACTTTAAGATACAAAGAGAAATAAGACGTATACATACCTTACTACCGAAGATGAAACACAGCAGCAAAGTGACAGTCAGTTGGGTGTGGCAGAAGAAAATTATGTACAGCAAATCAGGGTTAGCGGGAGATTGAAGGAACAGCCTGTGAACAATATATAGTAATGCTATAAAGCTTTTGTTTGGTTTAATTATAATTTTGAAAAAATTGGGCATTTGATTTCAATGAATCTCAAAACATACCTAATAACGGTAAAGAATCACGCGTGTATATATACTATGCATGTTTTAAATTAACGCAAGAAACAGCTAGTATGAGTGTGTCTTTATAATATGTATTCAACAGACAAATACAGTGACTAAGCAAACTTTATCTTGGCTTTATCTAGAGGTTGTCTTTAAGTTCGATAGTTTTGTCAAGTATTCCTATTCGAAAAGAACGTCTGCGTATGCTTCTGATGGGGCTTGGTCCCGAATGCGCAGTAAATATTTGTCATTTAAAAAATAGATAATCTATATGTATATAAATAAAAATTCATTTCAAAATATGGCTAAGCGCAAAACTCGAAGACGGCTGGACCAATTCGAGTATTTATTTTTATTTATACCTTGGACTCTGAGGTTTTTATGGAGAATTGATTTTTTTAGTAGTTTTATTGGAAAAGCGAACACTCTATATGGCGTAGCACAGCTAAATCTTCAATTTCTTGGCATAAAGGTGGGCTAAGTAAAACAATCATATTAAAGTGAAACGAAGTTCGCGAGGGCAGCTAGTTATTAATATTTAAATGTTACGGACGCATACTTTTACAATACTTTTAACATATAAAACGATATATATATATACATGTAGATAACTACTCAATCAAAATATACGTAACTACATTAATAGATAATCAAATTACAGTATATCATAACATTATATTGGTCCTATGATGGATTGCCTCTTAACGTGTGTTTATCTCTAGACAGCTTCTCATATTGACGATATAAAAATAATAATTAATCTTCCTGTTTCCCTTTGAAAATATTTCGTCGGCCAAATATTGGTTGTTACGAAATAAATCATCGAAATATTGATTGATGGCTCGGTAGCTAACTAAAACTGTGTACTGAATTAGAACGCATTTCGATATATAGAAATCATAAAAATAGTGAAGGACTTACGCGCACAATTTTTTTAAAGAACAGGGCTAACGGGCAGGAGGCTTATATGATGTTCAGTAATGCCCTTGGACACTCTCAATGAAAGAGGGTTCGCGAGTTCGTTACCGGCCTTTTAAACTTGGTTATGAACGAACGTGGACTTCAGGGATGACATTGCACGTCGTAACTACTAGGCCAACACTGCTCTACACAACATTACAGTGCAATAATGAGAATTATAATACATATAATCACTTTGTTACGGTAATAGGTTAAGATTATTTAATTATTTTAATTGCCAAGAAGAGTTTCGGCATAAAACAATTAACCAGCAAGTGGGCTGACGGTTGATCTCTTGAGATATTTTTCGTAATTTTGACTTTACTTTTGTTATTCATCGACGATTAAGAACTTCAAAGGGTTGAATTTAATGAGGAGAAGTTTGCATAGATTATCAACCCAAAGAATTCTGGTGTAAAGGTGTATATTTTTAGCAAAATTAAGCTATTTATGGCAGAATAATTTTTAACTAGTCAGTGATTTATTAAGCTTATTAAATTTTTAAAACGATAGTAGAAAATATTGTAGCAGTGTGCGTACATTTTAGTAATTAAAAAAAAAAAAAAAAATTGAAAGTTACTAAAAATAAATATTTTAAAAATATTGATAATATCTTTCATATACGCACAAAGCGTACTTAGGTGGTTTAAGTGAGTCGCTACACATAGGGCTAATACTGTCAAAAAAAGCCTTATATTGCGCTATCCCATAACTCTCATACTTTAAAGGAAAAGCAGGACCGGCACGATTGTTCAAGTACCACCAAATTCCTAAGTTACAATGAAGTTATTCTTAGAAAAGTAGCAATGGTATATGTTAACTTATCACGGCAGTAATTGAGCCCGAGAGCTCATGATCGAGAGCTAACTAATAGACCAATGAAGAATTGAATATATCAACTTTTGTAAGAATTCGTTTGAGTACAAATTACCTTTTGTATTAAAGATCCTTTGATAACAAAGCCCTCACCATTAGGTATCGAGTGTAATTGTAGCGTTTGTTTCTGACATTTTGTTGGAAATGTTACCTTAAAAGCCATTTTCCTGAGCTTCGTGCTTATCAATACTGTTTTTGTCATTGCAGAGAACATAATTTTCACGAATTGTTCTCGAAAAATTCAATTTTTTTTTTTAATATGAAGCTACGGCGATAAATGTCAACATGTCAAAATGGAATTTGCTCTTCGATTTTCCTTTTTCTTTATTTAGTCAATATGTAGACTGTAGAGCTTTTAAAACTCGAATCCTATTGTAAAAAATGGAGTTTAAACTCTCAATTTAATATATACCTTTTACTTTAGTGTTATATTAATAACTGTTAACAATAAGACAATGCGAGAACTACCATATATATCAATAATCAATCAATATTTATATCGTTTATTAATTAATATGAGCAAAACAGAAACGTGAATGGTTATTAGTTTTGTAGAGACAAGAAAAAAAAAAACATTTATTCAAACAAACAAAAAAACACAAAATATAAGCCCACGATTTCAATCAAGATAAAATATGAAAGAAACCGACATAGAATTATGCCGGCTCTACGAGTATTAAGTGTAACGATAAACGAAGTGTAGCTAACTTCTTAAATCATTTAAATGAAACTAATATAAATTAACCAGTATTTTGAGGCTTTTAACACGCCAACTTATAACACTTATTCACTTTCATATTTTATATCACTTGATTTAATATTGTTTTTAATAGTTCTCAAATCAAAGACATACCGAGTGTCATACGCGAACACTTTAAAGAAACACTATCTTTCCGTTTCATCGCGTTTATTCTGCTTTAAATGTTAGCTTAGTAACATATTGAAGAATTTAGCGTATATAATAAAAAAGAAGGCAATAGTTATATGCTTTTATCGTTATACATCATAATTGCTACCAAGAGCAGTACTCATAAATACTTGACATGTATAACTTTGTCAAACCCTCGCGCACGCACCAGTGCTTATAGATACTTGAAATTCTAGGGTTGTCATTTTTGGTTTACTTTGAAGCTATTAAAAAATGCCTTTAGAAAAAAGTCAAGGAATATTTCAAAGGATTTTAGGATGATACAAAAAAAACATGAACATTTTTCATGTGTGTTGAAATGAATTTTAAAATAAACCAATGACAATTATCAAATTGTTTCATTACAAAGGAGATACTAATTGAATATATTCTTGACGATCACAAGGGTTAATTTAAAAAACAAATAATCAAAGAAAACCTATCACACATCCGTTGCGTCCAAGCACCAGAGCGCAAAAGGGAAACAATTGGGGTGCTCAGTACGCAATATCCCGTCCCGTCTTCTAAGAATAATCTTCAAGCATGAAGATCCGTGGTTTCTATTCGTGGTTTCTCTACTCCTTCGGGATATATCATGATAATATAAATAAATAATGAAAAAGTAAAAGAACACATTATATTTATATTTGGTGTATTTTATGATTATTATAGTGGCAGCCCTAACTGCCATACTCAGTTGTGCATTGAGGCTTGCGCTACAACCGTAAGAGTCATACAGTAGTTAGTAAAATAAAAGCTTTTATGACATAAAATATCCTTCTGTAAATTGGGTAAATAAATAAAACTGACAACTTTAAATAAATTATATAGTACGTATATTGAGAAGTGTTGACCAAGTGGCTTTAGCGTGCGATTCTCATCTCATGAGGTCGTTATTCGATCCCCACCACTAAATCTAGTTCGTACGGTGAAGGAGAGCATCGTGAGGAAACCAGCATGCTTTAGACCTAAAAAGTCGACAGCGTGTGGCTGATAATCTTCTTTTCTAAAAGGAAATTATCCTGAAACAGACACATAAATCTAAGGACCCATCAAAAAGGAGCCCTTTTTTTAATGGATATTATTTTGAACTTCAGAATTAAAGCTTACTCCAGAGTTGACGTCCGTGGCCGTTAAAGTAGGTTTCATAGGAAAGATACCAGAATTTCCAATAATAATTAAGGTTTTTGGTCTTTCACGATCACGATAGTGGTTTAGACACATCTTTATATATATAATTCTTCTGTGAGTGTGTATGTCACTGAACTTCTCTCAAACGACTGGACCGATTTAGATGAAATTTTTTGTGTGTGTTCAAGGGGATCTGGGAATGGTTTAGATTCACAAATCAGCCCGGCAGATGGCACTGCAGTCGGTACTTTCATACTTTGCTTAATATCCTAATCGCTTTAAATATCATGCAGGACAACGTTTGTGGGGTCCACTAGTATACTATATAGTGCCTTATACGGTGTACACATACGCATGTTAGAAGTAAGAGAAAAAAGTATTTTAGTAAGAAGATAAGTCAAGCTCTGGTCCAATATTGAATGCTGTATTTGTATATATTTTATTTTCCATTCACTTTACAAAATTGCTCATAATATATTGAGTGTGTCATCAGTTCAGGTGCGTATGGATCGACACAGGCGCTGAGGGAGCAACGAAACTGTCCTTAATTAAGAATAATACGGTGTAAAAAAGGGGTCATGGACCAATGCTGAATATCTACATTAATCAGCAAATGAGGGCCTGATAACCTTTTACCATTTGCGGATTTTTGCTTCAAAACCAGAACTTTAAAGCGCCGTATATGACAAAAAAAATCCAGTTAAATTTTGGTAACAATTTTATTTTCAATAAATATTTGTTTTTAATCAAAAACTAAGTCTCCACAGTGTATAGCTTCGATTTTACAAAACTAATCCTTTGTGTATGCCGGAAAATATTTTTACAAAAATACACACTCCATTTTGTTGAAAAACACAGGCGAAAATAAAAGTTTCAATATGTTTAATTTACGGACTGTAAATTTTAGCAAAGTTAGATTAAACTTTTTTCAATTTTCATGTGAATGAAAATGCAAAGGCAAAATAGGCGCATGAATTTTTCTTTGTATGAATGCAATTAACACTTATACGGCGAAGGAAAATATA